TGGACACGGCGGATGGATTGGATCTGGTTGGTGTGGGCCTGGCTGCTGTATTCGTTGTACTTCTTGAACTCGCCATTCTGTCTGTCCCGCTCCAGCACATACTGGTAGCCCCTGTATCCCGGATACTGGTATGCCACCCACCTGCAGGCAGACCCCTGGCTCAGAGCCCTGGGCCAAATCCTCCCATCCCATCCCATCCCATCCCATCCCATCCCATCCCATCCCATCCATTCCTATCCTTGCTCTGAGAGTGGAGGGGCAGAAAACAACCCCAAGGGAAGGGGAGCAGGCAGGCACCCCTCCTTTTTCTGGCCCCCCTTCTCCATCCTTGGAGCTATGCTATGGAGGGAGGTGCTCTCTTTAACCTCTGCTCTTGCCCCCCAAGTAGAGAGACTCACGCTCCAGCATTCACTTTGATGGATGCCACCTCCTTGTTGCCCCAGCCCATGGCCTGCAGCGAGGGGTAGTCATCGCTCAGCTCAAACTTGTGCCCCTGGAAGTTCTCAGCCTCGTAGAGGATGACTTTGCTGTCATTGTGGTTCTGCAGAGGGAGAGAGCTGGGGGTCAGCGGGGATGGGGTGGCTTGCATAGGATCAGGGGATGTGGCATCACAGGGGGACACACCAAGGCACTGTGGAAGCCTGGTACCATGACCAGCTTTGGTGCAAAGAATGAGGATGTCTTTCAGCCTGGCACCTCCTCACCAGGACACCCCAGGGCTGCCCAAGGATGCTGCTCTCATGTCCCTGTAGTCCCAGTACACAGCTGCCAGCAAGGATGACAGTGGCCACATCCTCTGCACCCAGCCGGGCTCCTGCCCTCGGCATCCTCATGCTGCCCAAGGCTGCAGGAAGGTTGCAGGGCAAGGCAGGCTACTGAGAGCAATACTCCAGCTCTGTGGGGCTATGATGGGTGCTGGGCACCAGGCCCTAAAGGGTTAATTGCTGGGACACTGAGATGCAGCACTGTCCCCTGTGCCCAGCCCCCACAAAGCATCTATCTGCACCGCGGAGCAGTCCTGCCAGTAAGAAGTGATCTTATCGCATCCCCTTTATTAAAGCCCAAGCATATCTGCCTGGTGATTATTAAAAGTTGGGGGGGGGACCCCCGCTCGGAGGAGCAGACGTGCCGCTATTGCGAGCACCAGCGTCTCTGCAGATGGAGCGATAGAGGCTGCAGCTGCCTGGGCACAGCTTGGCTTGGCTTGGCTTGGCTTGGCTTGGCTCGGGTACCCCAGGTGGGAGGGCGACAGAGCCCACACTCCAAAGCAGCAGCATCCCTGTGGTCCTGCCAGATCCTCTCTGTTTACAGCATCCCTGGGTATCTGAGTGGAGGGACAAGACCTGGGAACTCCAGCCTGGGAGGTGGCTCTACACTGCACAAAGAGGGAGCTGGGGGGTGGTGTTTCAGGCTAAATTTTAGCCCTAAAGAGCATCCCAGGATCCTTGCAGGGAAGTAGGAGCCAGTGGGGGCAGCCACCCCTCCACCCCATGGCACCTCCGTGTGTGCCTCACCCCTCCATCCTGTAACCCACATAACCCATCCTCCTATCTGTCCTTCATCTCCCTCCGTGCTGGGCTGCCAGGGGGAGGCTCTGCTGGCCCCCGAGCACCATTGTTGTCCCCACAACTCACTGCGCACTTGATGGGCCGGAAGGAGAGGAGGTGCTCGGTCCGGTAGCCGCTGTTCCCGCTCCAGGCCTCCCACCGGGGATAGTCGCCCTTCTCCAGGATAAACTGCTGCCCCTGGTACTCAGGGTACTCGAAACCCACCCAGCTGGAAGGGAGAGGAGGAAAGCCCTCAGACATGTGCATTGCAGTGCCTGGGTCTAGGCCAGGGCTGGCTTCTCCCTGCCATGCAGGGGATGGAAAAAAAAGATTCGGGGTCCTCACTAGCAGAAAATGTTCCAGACTTTTGAGAGTGAGACCCCTCGCCACAGGGCCACACCGTTGCCTCTGAGCTGTGCCTCAGCTCGGCAGGGTCTCCCTGCTTTGCAGATGGGGAAACCGAGGCACTATGCAGGGAATGCAAGGAGGGAGGTTGCAGGATGAGGCTGTGTCAGAGCTGAGGAAGGACCCGGGTGTCCTGGCTCCCTGGCAGCTCCTGACAGCCCACTAGGAGCAGCAGGTTTGCCAAAGTGGGGTGTGCCAAGGGACTACAGGGCTGGCGGGTTACTTACGGGCCAGACTCCACCTTGATGGAGCGGATCTTGCGGAAGCTGCGCTCCATGATGCTGGGGCACTCCATGAGAAACTCGCAGCGCTTGCCCTGGAAGCTCTCCTCCTCCCACACCGTGATCTTGTACTGCCCCAGGGTGTCCATGGCTTCACTGCTGGTCATGCGGATTGCTCAGCTGCTGGCAGAGCCCCTCACATCAGATGCCACCCCCAGGCAGATGCCACCCATCAACCCGCAGCCACCCTGCTGCCTGCCACCAAGCTTGGAGTGCAGGCAGTGCTGCCCTCACATGTCCTATGCTACCAGCCCCTTGCCCTCTCAGACTGGCACGGGGGATGCTTCCATTCCCCTTTCCTTGGTGCTGGGGCATCTCTGTCCAGTGACACCCCAAGTTGCAGGGGGCACTTGTGATGTCCTATCTCTCCATGTGATGTATGTGGGGCTACCTCAGTTTCTCCGTTCCCAAGTTCCCTGCGATGACTGCTGGGGGTCAGCCTGGTGAGGTGGCACTGTACCCAGTGCAGGGGGTGGCAGTGACCCCAACTCAGATGCAGCTGTGGGATGCAGCTCTGGGGTGGGGCAGCCCAGCTCCTGTAAAGATGTGTGCCAGTATCCCTCCTGCCTGCACAGGGTCCCCCTGCTCTGCCCCACAGCACCCGCAGCTTGCCCTTCCCCAGATGTGCATTGGGTGGGGGGCTTGGTGTGGGGGGTGAATGGAGCGTGGCAGCGCCTGTGCAGTGGGAGGGGCTCGGGGGGTCACAGCTTGGTACTTACTTGGTCAGCAGGGCAGGGCACAGAGGCGAAGGTGGCGGTGCCGGCGCTGGTTTTCCCCTCACCCTTTATAGGCAGGCGCCGAAGTGCCGATGGTGCAGGCGGGCAGGGTGCTGTGTCAGCAGGCAGGGGAAGGGGGGGACGGGGTGCGCACACACGCCCGGCTCCAGCTGTCAATTCCACTTAGGCAGTGTGGCGAGAGCGGCCCCCCCGCACCCCGTGGGGTTACAATGAAAGTGCTTGGCTGTGTTTGCGCAGAGCTCAGGGCACAATGGGCAAAGGGCCTGATGCAATGCTTTCCTTTCTGCCCCCGGACAATGTCCCTGCTTGGCCTGGGATTAGGGACCCAGCCTTTCCCAGGGCACCAGCAGACTTTGGCAAGGCTGAGGCTGGTGGGAAGGAGGTGCCAGGGTGATGCGGGATTTGCTATCTGGGAGCTGAAGGGCACTGATGTCCTCACACTGGGGTGCAGGGCTGCTCTGGAGCTTTATTTTCCCCTCTGCCACCACAGGTCCCTCCTCCAGCCAGACTCTGTCTTTCATATCCTAAGCTGGCAGAGCAGGGCAGGGACTCAGCCTGCACAGGCAGGGCTCTCTGTGGGGTGCGAGAAGGTTAGTGTGAGCAAGAGGGGTGCTAGAGGTGTTGGCACAGCCACAGCTTGGTCTGTCCCTGCTCTGGGAGATGCAACACCCAGCAGATGTTCCTGTGTTGGCTCTGCACAGAGCACTGAGGGACTCTGGTTACATGCTACTCCCTTGCAATGTCCTGGGCATGTCCTCTGGCCTGGCAAAGGGTTGCCTGTGCTCCCCGCACACCTCCTGCAGAGGCAGAGAGCACCATGCCCTAGGGCAAAGCCATGTCCTTCGCCTGGGCAGCAGGAGCCCTGCCTGAGACTGTGCTGTGCCATGCAGACATCCCCAGCACCTGCCACAAGGACCTTTGCTGGATAAGGCCAACACAGGTTGCAAAGGAATTGAAGAAGGGTGCCCTGCTGAGCAGTGGAATCCTGGATCTCTTGGCAGCAGCGTTTCTTGCAGCACCCCTGCGTAGCCTTCAGTGAGGCCAGGCACTCCCCACCTTCGGCTGGGCAGTGGGGAGGGGAAGGGCTGGCCCAGAGCACCCCAGACCTTCCCAGGGAAACTCCAGCTCTCCTGGGAGTCCTGAGCATGAGATCAGAATCCCAAGGAAGCCCAGCAGGTGATGGATGGTGTAGGGTGGGCAGCTGGGGGTGATGGTAGGACTGCTGGCATATCTGCCCAATCTCATCAGGAACTGGGGACTGCGGGGTGACACCAGGGAGCGGCTGGGGGCAGGACTCGTGCGTCCTCTCCGTGTTCCGCCACTGCTTTGCAAGGCGCCGGGCAGCATTTCCCTCCCTGCTCCGAAGCTGGTGCGGGCTGCGCCGATGCCTGCAGATCCCAGCAGAGGGTGCAGCCTGGCAGCGGTTGCAGCTGGCTCCGGCCAAGGGACGCTGGTGGCTCTCGGCCGGGGACAGGCGCTGGGGAAGCGACCCTCAGCTTGCGAGGCCCTGAGTGCTCGTAACAGGTCGGGGGAAGGCCCCCTGGGAGCGGTCTGGGGGAGCAGAGGATGGAGGGAAGGATGGGGATGCTCGCCGGAGACGGAAGGGGGTGATTGGAGGCAAGCAGACCCCCGGAATGCAGCCCAGGGGCCTGCCATATCCCTCAGAGTGCTGGGGATAGGTTTGGGCAGCACTTAGGTATGCCAGCACCTTGGGGTGAGATGCAGAACTAGCACACTGCAGAGTCCCCCTACACATGGGCTATGTGAGCAGAGGTATGGGGCACTGGTTAGTTTGGGGTACTATGGGATGTGAGGGGGATTACAGGGTGTAACACACTGTGGGGTGTATTACAGAGCCCCAGGGCTGAGACACTCTAGGATACGTGGGATGCTGTGGGCTGTTACCAGATGTGCATGGGGTGTGTGGGGCACCGTGTAGTGTGCTATAGAATCTACGGGGTACTGATGGTGTGCTAGGAGGGGCACACAAGTAGCTCAGTCACCCCCATACAACTCTTTGGATAAAAACATTGATGCTGGCTGTGCCCCTTTCTCCCTTCTCAGTGTGGCCCACATGCTGGGATGTGCTCAGCACGTTTTGCGTAGCCCGCAGGGAAC